TAGCATCACAAGCCGAGTCACAATCTCAACATAATCATTGGCAACAGCTAGATGGATCGGTTGGAAAAAGGCATACTCGCCGCTCGACCATCGGTTCAAGTCCGCCGGTCCAGACCCGTCGCTCTTCAAGAGCTCGTAAGTGCAGCCGATAGACCCATAAAGACATGCGAAATGCAAGGGGGTCAAACCGAGTGCATGGGTGACGTTGTCCGCTTTCGCCCCCAACTTGAGAAGCGCGTTGGCGGCTGATGGTTGATCGGCCATGACGGCGGCATGTAACGGGCTGCGGCCGTAGTCATCTCCAACGTCTATCGAGGCACCCAAGTCGGCCAGGCCACGGATGACTTCTTTGCTGCCACCGCAGGCTGCGTGGAAGAGAACTGATCGTCCGGCATTATCTCTGGCGTCGATGTGTTTAGTTGTGCCCATCATCTTGGTTAGTGCGTCTACCGCCTGCATGTTGCCGGCGGCTGCCGCCCGATGTAGCGGAAGCTCGCCTAGGTCGTTGATGTGTGGGAACGAGTGCGAGCCGAGGAAGTCCTCTTTGATCAAATCAATAATCTTCCGTATCCTGTGATTTGCCAGTCCGGCAGGCGCATATGCAGAGAAGAGATGGAGAATGGTCTCGAGTCTTTTTGTCGTGAACTTGTGCAGAATGTCGGGGTCGGTTCCAGAGTAAAACGCGATCTCGGCTTCAGCTTGCAAGACCTCGGTTGTAATACCCTGCAGAATGTCGGGTCTTTTCTTTAGATTTGACTCTCTCTCTTCTTCCAGAAGATATGCAGCGAGGTTGAAGTGTCCATTGAGTACAGCAAGATGAACAGCCATAAAGCCGCTTCTGGTTTGACTCATGGTATTCGCACCTAGCTTCAACAACGTCTTGAGCATGGATAGCGAACCAAGAGTTGCGGCCCAGTGAATGGCTCTGAAGTCGTCAAACTCTTCTGTCCGCAGCTCAAGAAGACCTCTTCGTTGCCTTGCAAGAGACTGGACATCCCTATCACTTCGCGCTCGAACGGCCCGAATCAAATCGGCGTATGGCTTACTTTGCTCAATCTTGACGGCGTGGAGTTCATTTCCAAATCGAATGGCAATGTTGACTGCCGTCTTTGTCCTCACTCCCTCGGGTATGGGAAGTGTCGGTGCCAGCATAAGGGTGAACCTATCTTGATAGCAACAGCAACGCGTAACTGCGCCGACCTCGTCAAACAGTACGACAGGCTCTTGCGGCTCTGGAGTTCGCCTAGGCGTACTTGACAGAACATCCTCGTCACTTGGTGCAAAGAGAAGTTCAGAAGTACCGGAAACTTCCAGCTGAATAAATCGACGGCCTCTTCTTTGAGACTCTTTGGCGTCGATGGTGATGAAACCCAAGCCTTTTGAGTTTTGGTACGATGCAGGGCCATCTGAAGTAGTAGCAATTTCGGAAAACTCCAAGTAGACGGACTCGAGACTGTTGCCAGTGTAAGGATGCTTCTCGTAGCACACTTCCCACCGTCTCCTGACCCGACGGAGCCCAATGGCAACATCTACGACTGATCGCTGGCTTTGCTCAAGTGACATGAAGCGCAAAACGACCATCGCGCGGTTCGAGTGCGGCTCTTTAGTTCGTATCACGGATAATGTGGTGTCCCATCTTTCCGGCGGATATGCTTCATGAATGGTGAAGGCAAGATGTGAAACAGCATCCTTTGAGTTGGGCCGAAGCTTTGTTTTCACACTGAGTTCAGGGAGAGCGTAGAATGGGTTTTCCTTTACGTAGATGTTCTCGTACGTCCCCTCAGCGTCATCGAAATGATCCAAAGGAAACAAGATGACAGAGCCCTCTTCAGAGGCAACTCTCGCGAACTGGTCACTCCAAAGTCGTTGTAGAATGATGCAAGGGCTCATCTCCTCGCTGGCAGAGTCGGCCTTGGAGACTATGCAATCCAAAAGAGCGTAGTACTCATCTCCATCCGGCTGTCGGGGGATGAGGAGGATATTCGTTCGGAGCCCTTGATTAGTGACACTGGTTGGCGCACTATCCTGGGATTCTGAAGGAGGTAGAGGTCGCACATGGTCAAAGTCGACCCTTGAGAATGAGCTTGGTGAACTTGCAAGCAGGCCGAAGAGGTCATCCGAGGGTTGAACGTCCTCTGGCATCCCCCAAAGAAACAAGGACTGGTCATCGCTCTCTTTGAGGATCTCTTCTTGCAGACGCGTGAAAGCGCGGTCACCTTCACCGTAGAGCAAGGGCATGTTTACCTTGAACAATCCTATCAGGCAGTATGCTTTGTCTTCCGGTCGCGTCGTCTGTCGATGCCCTGCCCATCGCATCTTATTCGCGACACTGATGTCGCTGAGGAATGATGTACCAGAGAGCACCTGCTCGTCAATGCCAGTAATCCTGGCAAGCAGCTGGCAAAAGACATTTCTCGACTGCTTTGTGTTGATATAAGACCAGTCCCCGGCGTAGAACTCAACAGTCTTTGGCGCAATGAGCTCCTGCAACGTCCATCCTCGGGTAAACCACCGACTATTCTGGAAACTCGAATCCTTGGCAAACGGGCTCTGCGCGGAAACTGGCTCCACGTCGGAGAGGAACGCGTAACAGATGGATGCCTTTTCGTACCAACGGTACATGGAGTTGATGGACTCCGACAACTCGGCGCTGCTAGTCTTGTCGATGCAGCAGGTGTCGGCCCAGAGGTAGCGGTGGCGATGGCTCTTGGCCAGATTGGCTGCATCTCGTATCTTGCGGAAGCCGTTGGTGGAGCGGATCTGGTCGGCCGCATCCGCGGAGCCCGACCCCGGACCGGGTGCCGTGTCCGAGGCCAAGCCGAGCGCTTGGAAGCTTCGGAACGTGACTTCGTCGCTGCCCCAGGTGTGAGACAGGATCGCATACTCCTCCTGGGGGTCGCCCTGCACTTCGACGAGTTTGAGGCTATCGGTGTCAATAAGCCACATCTCGAATCGGCTGCCTGGCGGAGGCGAGCGTCGAAAAGGTGTAGGTAGGATGCCAAGGTTGAGGCGCCGATCGTCAGCTGAACTCAAGTCAAACGAGAAGAAGATGATTTGTTATCTTGGTAGAGAGACATGATTGGTCCGGCTCCCTGCAGCTAAGCTAGATCTTCAGTCCAGCATTGAGAACATCTTAGGTGCGTCATTTATCAACAGCCGCGAAGTATTTGGAGGATACATGGGATGCCTAGATCTCATTGCAAAAGGCTATCGGAGTCACTGTTCAACACAACTGTGCTAATTGAAATGCGACTAAGAGTCAATGACAATTTGTCGACTAGAACTCTAGCAGTGCTACAGAAGCCTAAGTCGAATGACGAGTGTCCACAAGAGCCCTGTCTTAAAATGGGGGAGACTCTTCAACGCCCCAAAGATCAGTATTAAGCTTAAGAGGTGGTCTTTAAGACTAGGTAAAACGCGCTAAGAAGCGAATGCTATTACAAGACGTGGGATACCGAAGCGACGTCGTGGGCCTTAACATTCAGATTTATGATGTGAAATTCAGTTTCGCTGCCCATGGAAGAGTGTCGGATCCGGAGATCATATCCCCTGACGAGCGGCTGAGCAGCCAATCGCAATTTTCTTCTTGCTGCATATCACCCCGCCGCGCAGTTTGATCTTCAAGGAGGTTCAAATACTCCCCTCGACGAATTGCAATGGCGAGGGTTTCCAACCGTGGGATTTTGGAGTTCTTTCTCCCTGTCATCCCCACCCAAAGCACCAGTGACCCTAGCCAAGGAGAACAGGGGTTCATCCGAGGAGCTCGCAGCGTCGCTTCATTCCCATGTTTTGAAACTTCGTTCGATCTTCGAAACCGGTCATGCCCAGGTAACACAGGTGCTCAGCCATCTTTTCAGGCCTTCCAAGGCGGTCATCGCATCATCTCAGGCCACACGATGGCAGATGCAGCGCTTCTGTCAGCTCAACTATAAGATGGCACCTGTCGTGTCGCTGTCAGTTCATGTCACATAGTTTCAACTCATCAACAGCGAAACTGCCATCCGATACAACAACTTTTCTTCTTTAGACCTGGTGTCATCTTTATTTAAGCTTATCTCAAGTCTTTGCGCCCATTTTCCTTTCACAGTTCTTCTCAAGATACCCATTTGATTCAACCCAATCCACACAAAATGTACGCCCAACAAATCCTCGTTACTTTCCTGATGGCCACCAGCGCCACTCTCGCTAGCGCAAGTAAGTATAATCTTCTCGACAACCACAGTCATCCCATCTTTGTCTAATTAGATGACCGCCTTTAGGAAGCATCGAAAGACGCCAATTGCTTGGAAACCTCGGCAGCCTCTCGTGCAACGTCGCAAGACTCCAGATCTTAGGCGCCCTTGGCAATACCGAGGACGCTGTCTCCCAAATCACCGATACAACAGTCCAGGACGCTGCCAATGCTGGTCTCCAACAAGCACGAGGCGGCATCGCACAAATTGCAAAGTCCATCGTCAGCGGCGCTGCACCGCCCGCGGCTAGCCGTGATGAGGTAGCAGCTGGACTGGCTGCAGCGGGTACCGCTCTTTCTGGGGGTGATGCGTGCGTATCCTTGTCTCATCGTGTGCAAATCGAGGATTGCAATGGCTAACAACCTGTATAGGAGCGACCAAGCCGTAGCTGATGCGCAAGCGGGACTTGATAAGTCTGTAAAGGCTGGTCAAGATGTCGTTGCGAACTGCTAAACAGTAGATGTTGGATTGAAGGAGCTGAGCTCGGCAAATGACGAAAATGAGGCATAAGACAGCAGCAGGACTAGCGCATGCATTAATACCACCATGATCAACTATTCAAAACTACTTCCCTTCACTCCAAGCATGTTCTCTCTTATTCGTGAAACCTGCAACTCTATGCGACGTCTGCCCGAGCCACTTTCGCAAGATGGAACTATCTCGTCGTTCCAATCAGTTCCCTCGCCTGTTGCAGGTCCTGTGCCATGGCACCCAAGTGAACCACGTCGGCCGAGACCATGATTAGACTCATCCGATCCGCAGCCTTCTTCAGGACCTCTGGACTCCCATAAGGAGGCCCGCCAAACGCAAAGCCCGCAAAGGCTTATCGTGCTTGTCAATGGTATCAAAGAATAGCTTCGACACCTTGACCCATTCAGGTTCAGAAGCTCCAATCCCTCCCATCTTGGCCTCGAGGTTCATGCTGACTCGGGCATCAAGAGTGCCAAACCAGACGATGTCGATATCTGAACCGCAAGCCGTCAGAATCTCATCGAGGTTCTTGACAGCTTGGGCTGACTCGATCTGAATCATAATGGCGGCCTGATCATTGAGACACTTGTGCAGGTCGCGGTGGTCATACGGAGTATCGGTAAGACCGGGCACAAGACGGAAAGGCGGTAAGGATCGCGTGCCGTTCTGCGCAGTGCCGAACTTAGCGGCGGCAATGGCATGTTCTGCTTGTTCAACTGTCTCGACTTGAGGGATGACGATGCTGGCGCCGGCATCGAGAGCATACCCAATGGTAGCGTGATCGTGGCCGGGGAGGCTGCGCAGTTGTATCAGCATGAAAGTGTGAGAAGACGTACGACAGACATACCGAACGAATGGAATAGTGCGGCCTTGGCTCATGAATGAAGCCTCGTGAACCATCTACGCGGCGTCAAAAAACTCTTCGAGATTAATGCAGTGATTCTTTGAGTACCGTCGTCATGGTTTCCGTGTTGCATGGGGTATGCTCCCAATCAATCCATACGGCATCGAAGCCCATAGGGGCCAAGTACCGGGTAATGGGGATGGAGCTCAACCCTGCGTAGTAACAAAGCAGTGGCGGAATCTTCTTTGCGTGGGCGTCTCGGATGGCTTGACGGGCTTTGTGAGGCTGGAAAAGCGAAGGAGCAGCATAGGCAGCCATGCCTTGTGAAGAGGTACTCTTATATTCGTCTCCGGAGGTAACCATGGTGGAAATTCGAAGTTTTTACCGTTTCTCGGAATGATGCTTGGTGAAAATTCTGGATGATTTAGATTCGATAGGTCTCAAATACTCGTCTTCATTGTGACCTCTTATAACCTGTTCTACTAAATATCCTCCATCAACATCCCACGCCCTTCAAATCTCCAACACCAGTGCGCGCGAAGAAGTTTACGTGAGACCATCAAAGCAGGTTCCGGATTTCCTGGTCGAGTTACCGACCGATAATGTTCCTGGTCTGAGCACTCAGTCAAAGAAGATTTCGGTCTTGGAGATGTCCGTTGAGACGCCGGGCAGGAAGAATCTCGTACAACACCTCACCATCGCTACTTTGGGTTCTTTAGGTGAGCCGAGGCACCGAGGTACTATCCGAAATAAGGATCTTGAGGGATCTGCATATGCAGCTGTTGCGGCTCACATAGTTATTTCCATACGGCTGTCTCGTCGAACTCCCAGAGTCCTAGCTCCGTGGAAAGGTGGTTGGACCAAGCTAGTGCGACTTCCGAGACACTATGGTGGCTTACGGCTAGACTAAAATCTGACAGGCGCCGGGAAGTTTTATGTCATAAAGCCGCTACCGAAGGAGTCGGAGAGACTTTCGTGGATCCCTTTGTTGTCATCTCACAAGAGCACTCACTCCAAAAACCCCAAATCTAGACTATCGGATTCATTTATCTCATGCAAGAGTTTCAACATCGATAAGGCGGTCCCAATTACATCATTTTCACTCATTACCAACCTCAAACGCGAGTTTTCGCTCAGTCCAACATTGGCGCCATACCCATGTCTCCCGAAGCACTGCCAAGCGAGCAATCGAGCGATCATGTTTCGCGGTCGCCTTCTCCCGACCAGGCACTTCAGGCAAGTCGTCAACAGCCCCGGATATAATTGTGTCACACGTGCCGTCTAGCTAATATAATGTCCAACTTAGACCCGCCGAGAGCGCAACCGCGAGGCCCAAAAAGTCTTTCGCAAACGCAAGCAAGCTGCGGAAGAGATCCAGGCAACCCGTCTGCAGCATCTAGAAACTACCGTCGCCAAGATGAGCTCCGCGGTCGTTGAGCTCGTCGACTGGATGCTGGACATTGAGGCGCTGAAGCAGGAAGTAGGGGTCTTGACGCGTATCCAGGAGATGGTGGCGCACGTGTTGGCCTTGGCTGACGATGCTGTGGCGTTGGAGGATGAGCTTCCGAAGAGGAGGAAGAGGAAGCTTAGAGAAGCGAAGCGAACTTCGATACAAAGTCTCGACCCCAAAGATCATGCTGGTACGGGCATAGAAGAGGAGAATCCTTGTGCTATAGATAACACATCCCACGTGGCGTCTTCTCCGCAGGCAAACCCTCCGGCACCAGATCCTCCGACCCTGACACCAGACGACCAAATCCTATCCCATCTAACATCCTTAGCCTGCCGCCCAACCTCGACCTCACTACCCCCATCCCTAGGAACCTTCCACTGCGGCTCAACAACCACTCTCAGCCCAGACTCCTTCAGCTTCCGCCTCACACACACCTGCTTCACGCTAGGCTACCTCATCCTCAGCAAATCCCTCGACTCACCTCTCCCTCACGGAGAAGAACCGCGCATCTTCAGCTCAACACTAAGATACCGTAACAGGGACGATATCATCACGAAAATGAGGTGGCTCGTCGGACCAGGCCAACATGAACTTCAGCAAGCCGCAGAATTACCCATGGGAGGGCGCTGGTACGGCGACGAATTCAGCTCCGAGGACCTGTCGCCGGAGAACCTCGACCTCTTTGAGAAGACGGCGCTAGCGGATGCTCGGCAGACGCGGTTCCTGAGCGTTGCTGGTGTTGAGAGGCAGCTTATTGCGCTTGGTGCTCGGGTGGTGGATAAGGAGACGCTGGAGCTGAGGATGAGTGGGCCTTTGAAGTTGACTTCGGACGCGGGAAAGAAACGGTCTTTGGCGTCGGAGAGTTGGAGTTTTGTGGATTGTTTCCCGCAGACGTTGCAGAGAAGGTCGAAGAAGACGTTTACGGTGCAGTTGAATATCACGCTGCTGATTGCTAATTTGTCGAGGTGTGCGGTGTGTCTCATGAAAGGGCCAGGGTTCCCGAGGGATAAACTGAACAGAGCGATAGAAGATTCTGTGGTCATGGTCAATAGTGGTTGAAGTGAATTATTTCGCAGATGTTTGGCTCTCTCAGGTCATCGGCGTGATTGACATGGAGATCCCGCGTTGAGGGCGCCTTGGGAGACAGAGTTGGGATTGTCACTTGCAAGCGGCTTTGCCCATGGATTGCCTGTCGGATGAGAGAAGTCACTTATACTATGGAAGTAGGCGTTTCGTAATCGTCAAAGTCACATTTCTGGCTAGAGTACACATCCTGAACCCCATATCCTGGATAGCACGACCCGCTGCGTTTGATCAGCTTTTCGGGAATGGTCGCTCCAAAACCAGGCCACCTTGATGAACCTCGTATGCCATGTGTCACTTGAAAATATCCGGGGAGCAGTGTGCACGAAATCTCAAAGCTTTGTGCTCGCTAGCCCATTCACTCCGTCTCATCCATTGGTTCTCCATCAGTGCTAGCTGCCTGCTCCTCAGGATTGTCCACTTCCTCCTCATCCTCCAGATTGTCTTGAACGCCAGAGCTATCGTTGTTCACCACCTCTGCGATCCTAGCCTCCTCTGTAGCAGCCTGCTGCGCCGCGGCAGCAGCCTTGGCTTCAGCGCGAATCCTCTTCTTCTTGTTGAACTTCTCGGTGGCTGCAAGGGTCTTGCCCGCAGCTGCTCGGGCAGCGGCGCCAGTTCGATTGGCATACGGAAGCTCGAATGCAGCATTGGAGGCTGCCTTGATGCCCATTTGAAGAGACTTGGCCTCGGCTAGGATTCCGTCGCGAATGTCCCTGTCGCCCTTGCTTGTGGTCTCTAGTTCATTCACTGAGTCGATGAACGTCTTGACCATGTGCTGTAGAGTCATATGGCGAGCTGTGAGGAGGTTGAAGGCGGCCTTGGAGATGTAGCAATTATCATCATCCGCGAGTGTCTCTTTTCCAGGCACATAGCTGGAAGGTTCGAGTCTCTGGGTAGGCTGTGTGCCGAGGTCGGGACTGGCTCTATCTTCGATGAGCTGTTCGAGGACTTCGCAGGTCTGGCCGACGAATGGGCTTCTTTTGTACGACCTGCTAGCTATGGGCATGTCATCCGAGTCGGTGCTACCAGCATCGACGGTGGCACCAGTCTCGATAGTCGCAACCGGCTCTCCGTCTTCTGTGTCCTGTATGGGAGACTTCGAGGGCTCCTCAACTTCGGGCTCAACAGCGTGACGCTCAGATTGAATTGTCGAGGTCTTCGTGAACGGGTGATTTGGCTTGTGAGGTCGAGGGAAGGAGGCGAGCGGCGATGGAGTCATCAGCTTCTGGCTGTCCTGCTTTCGGTTTTTGCGCCAGCCCGATGGGTGAATATTGAGTTTCGTTTTCTTAGAAGGCTTCGGGGACTCTGGGGTTTGATTCCTTTTCATTGACCTCTTTCTCTTTTTTCTCTCGACGGAAGGAGAGTTCTCGGCCGCATATCTCGCGCTCAACTTGCGAGACGACGGAATGACCGCGGCTTCGTCCTCGGGCGAGGAAAGAATCGGAATGACTGATTCTTTCGCCATCTCGGGCCAACTGTTCATACTTCACTGCGATGAGAAGGTCAACTTATTTGTGTTGGAGTAAAGCTCTGCGGGAGAGTGAGTCTCGCGGTGCGATGAGGTTGCCTGGGTGTTGTGAAATTTGTGTCCCCGAAGGAATAGTGAAAAAGCAATGCTGTCAGAGAGACTTGGTGTTAGAAAGAAAGACATTTGACAGTGATCGCAGAGGAACAATGGAAGGTTGGTACCTATCCCGTCAAGCGATCTGAGAAGAAGCGCGGAAAGCCGTAGTTGTGTAAAGTGACGAAGGGGCAAGAAGGAGCAGCTAATGAGAAATTGAGGAGGGTAAGGATGAAAAACCTTTGGTAAGAAAAGCGCTGCAAGAGACCCTTTGAAAAGATGACGAGACCAGTCAAAATAGCGCAATGGTCTATGGGTTTTGATGAGAATTTAGTGCGACGGTGAGAGGGTTGAGTGAAGTGAAAGGTGCAGGACGGCGAGGGTGAGTTGACAGTGGGTCATGTGACATTCAAATGTGAGATATCTGAGGCATCTGGGGGAGAATCAGGTCTCTCTACAGCTCCTTTCGGTGGAAGACGAAGAAGCCCACTATAGAAGGTACGATTGTTCTGCTTTTGATTTTCCGAGCCCGTGTGCGACTGCCTAAAATCAAAAGTTTGGATCGCGAGGCCTCACGAACATGACATTGTAACATCTCCACTCCGGCGGTGAGACGTGTGACTGTGAGCGGTCACTCGATGGGACCCAGATGTAAGCCACGACTGACAGGTTCCAAACCTGAACAGTGAAGGCTCATAGTGGCAAGTAAGCAATGAAGGAAAAGTTTGTGTCTCATGAGAAAAGCTCGATGATACCACCCAACGAGTCGGAGAATTGAAGACTAATGTACGAGAAAGCTGCCGGTTACTAGATGCTGGCAATCCATACTGTTTCGCCTGTTCACTCGCCTGCTCGCTCGTATCCGAGATACTCCATGATCATTCCTCCTCTGTACTAAAAAGCCGGATCTTTGCCCTTCTCAAGCGCCACCGCCGTATCATGCATCTCCTCCAAGGCCATGTCAATGATGCGGGCCTGAATCGATTCCGCCTCCAGCGAGTCCTCCGTATCCTTCATCCAGCTTGCGGAAAGTTGCTGTGCCGCCTTGATTCGCGCCATATGAAGCCTGTAGGCTGACTTGGAGATCGTCATCTGGTCGTCTTCTTCGGCCTGCTTCTTCTTCTCGCGCTGGTTCTGCAGCTGGGCTTGCTCCTTGAGACGGCGGAGAGCGAGGGTTCGGGCGACAGTCTTGACGGCGTCGGTGCGCTTCTCGGGAGCAATGTTCTCGACGATGTAGGTCGCGACTTCCTTGGCGGTGTCTTCAGGTCGCTTGTGGTGCTCTGCTTCGTGCTCCTCTTGTGGCGTGGGGAAGTAGAAGTGACGGCAGGAGATCGTTCGGCGCGGAATTTGAGATTGTTGGGTGTCGATATCCATGGGCATAGTCGAAGATGCGCCCATCTCCGAGGGGGCTCTGGAAGCTGCCATTGTACGCTCGCTCTCGCTGCCAGAGAAGGACATTTGCGAGTGAGGGTTGAGCCAAGGGAATGGGCCTTTGTCGTCCATTGTTCTTACTTTGTTGACCCGGTATATTGGTGTAGCTTTGACTGTCGAAAATTCTTTGATCGAGAGAGATTGTTTCCGCGGTTTTTTCTTAGCTAAACCTTTTGTGAAAAGAAAGGGGTCATGTACTTGATATCTGCCTTTGCCGAGCGGTGCTGTCTAATAGGCACCGCCTTCGAGTGACTTGGTGGATAAGTCGAGGAAGGAGCCCATGACATATGAACCCGTCCGCTCAGTCAAATCACGGTGTACAGACGACTCTGTCCCATAAAAGGAAGGCCATTAATCAAAGCGAGATCAAGAAGCATCGAGTAGTTCTCATTTAGTGCTCACTGGGGCCTTTCCATTGATACATCATGTCTCGTCTTGGTTCTCTTCAGAATTGTATGCATGGAATCACTCCAAGTCCCTCTCGTCTCCGGTATCCCCGCTCATAGTCTCATCAACCTCCTCAACCGCCTCTGCGTCTTCATCCTCTTCGCCACCATCACCCTGTTCGGCATTATACTGAGCTGCAAGAGCCGCCTCTGCAGCCAACTTCCTCTCCTTGCGGACATCCCCTGGTGTGGGAATGCCGTGCTTACTCTTCTTGTGCTGTTACTTTCATGTCAGCTTCTCCTCTAAGGTAGATTGTGGTTGTGGCTTAGCTGAACTTACTCTGTAGAGAGTGCACGCAGAGGTGTACCTCTTCGCCTGATTGCAAACATCACACCCGTACATATCTTTACCGCGCTTTCGGCCCCGGGGCTTCCCAGTCACGGCAGCTTTGCCTGTCTGGACGATTGCGCGAGCAAGGACAGCAGCTTGACTGGAGATAATTCCTCCTGTACCGATGGTGGAACCCATGTCAGTCTGAGGCTGGGCCGTGGCAACGTTGTTGCCGTTGTTAGAGCTGCTCGGGGCGTCAGAGCGAATGCCGGTAAGGCCGAAGTTGTTGAGATCGAGTCCCATTCTGCGAAGACGCTCCTCGATTGAGATATCTTCATCTCCGTCGTCGGCGATGATATGGTAAGGCTCAGGAAAGGGGGAGAGGCCCTGCTCGAGGCGACCAGAGATGCGACCCCAAGCTGTCGTTGTACGTATAATCAGCGCATCGAGGCCGAGGTTTCTGGTGTCTTGTTCCATGAGAATTGCCAGGGTGAGCTGTCGCTCGAAGGTTCTCGTTGCTCTGGGAAACTCATAGTTCCCACGCTGAACTCGCTGCTGAATAAGTCGCAGTGCGGCCACGGTAGTATCACGAATACTGTTACGGGTTGCGCCGGTGGCGAGTTGCTGCATGTGAATTGCACGTGCGAGGTTAGTCTCCAGCTGAAATGACATTGTTCTGGAATGATCTGTTAGCTTAGATGGAAGATACAATCAGATTCAAAGAAATGGGGATAGGGAAACATACGCGTTCGATTTTTTTTGTTGCGTAAACAAAAACGGCGGCCAGCAGGTAGATGGGTGGACGTGGAAAAGGCAAGTTGACTGCTAGGCCCGTGAAGTAGGGTTTCTATGAGTAGACGGAAGCAAGCTCACACTGCTTGACCATTAAAAGAGAAGGAAGGAGCGAGCCACAGGTGAAGATGTTGTGGAATAAACCAAAAGATTTGTGGTTATTCGCAAACTTCAGATGACCAACTTGGTCATTTTGGCTGGTACGATGCAGGCCACACCTCATAGGTCTGACTAATGGAAGGAGACGAGAACCTGCTCTGTGCCTACCGAAAAGTAACGAATGATATGAGGAGGATGATGGCGTTTCAGGGAAGAGACAGACCCCTAGGCGGTCGACTATCTGTTCTTCCGCGCGCAGCTCTCTGCAAGCTTTCCAAGGCCTTTCGAGTTCTTTTCGGTCTATTATAACTTCTCCTTTGACTCGCAGAGGTTCCAGTGGTAGCATGACCTTGCCACATCCCATCGGACGGAAGTAGTCGTAGAGGTTGCTGATATAAGTCTCACATCTTGAACCCGAATTGTAGTTATTGTGGGAATCGTGGGGCGCACGAGCAATCTGGAGGCTATACTTGGAGAAAAGGATGTCAGTTATGATTTAATACAGTAGAGCCAGGGCTATGAGATATGTAACTTACGGCGGAGTTTTGGCGATTGATGTATTTGTCTACGAACCAGCCAAGGTTCTCACCACACTTGAAGATTACACCCATGCTGTCAACATCGATGGGCCAATTCGCCTTAGGCAAAATCTATTCCATTGCCGGACCGCACTGCTGACCAAGAAGAACCTGAAGGACACGTTGGGCGCCCAGTGCTCCCTTGCTGCAGTTGTCAGTTTCTAAAGGGCTAAGCTTGCCGACTGTTTCTAGTCCTATTAGCACAGCTATCCTGGCGAGGTTGTAGTTTCGTAGGAGGGCCCCGGGTCTGACGTTCTAGCAGCGGAGGGACTTATGAGTACACCTAGCGGCTTTCTTCGTTCATTATGCGGCTTTGTTCGTTCATTATCAGAATCAAAAGTTACCTCGACAAGGTAGTTTAGGAGATTGGGTCTTCCAGCAGAAAAGAGTGCAAGAAAGATGGATCAGAAACCGATCGTATACTGGCGTCTGGTAACTGAGTGGCCGTGCCAGCAACGTCTGGCAGGCCAGGAGTGAAAAATCAGAAGCTTGGGGATGCTGATGATTAATAGAATGGGTGGAGCCGAGAAATAGAGGTTATATCGGTAAATAAACTTTTGACTGTTCCCTACTCTGAAAGTAGGGAAGCAGTGGTAGGAAGAAGGGATGCCTGAACTCTGGTACACTCGATGTGTTTCCATCTACATGTAAACTGGATAGCAACATCTTGAAGAAGGAGATCGGTTTGAATCAAATACAGTACTAGACGTAGATAAAAGTGATCATACTCCCCATTTCTGCTAAAACGACACGAAACTATAACTCCTTACACCCCCTTTCCTTTATCTTTCCTTGCTCTCTTCTTCGTCTTGGGGGAAAGAGAGGAGTCGTCCTCCTCTCGTGGTCTTTTGCCCTTATTGATGGGACCGGAGTTAGGTAAGCTAGCCTTACGATCGTCTTCATCATACTCTTCATACTCACCGTTGAGGATATTATCTGGAAACTCGCCGACGTCTGATTCAGCAGCAGGAAACGTCGGTCCAGTACCAAACAGGATGGATACAGATGGATCGGGTCTACTGGCTCTCATGGTGCTTTGAGGAGAGGGAAGGATGCATTCGCCACGGATTAGGCGTTCGCGGATGCCGAGATAGACTTCCAAGACTGCCGCGACCAGAGTGTTCCAATCGAGGCCCGAGGTGGCACGTTTACCGAGCATAGGAAGAGTGAAGACTCCCTCAAAAATGTCAGCGTCAGCATTGGGGAGGCTCGTGTTGCCCTCGAGGAGACGGCTGCTGACCCTCCAAAAGGCCAAGTCTGTTCTCAAGATGAGGTCCTTGGTAGTTG